ATCCAAGAATGTCCTGAGCCCAGTGATGGTGACGAGTCACTTCCCAAATTGGGGTGGTGCTGGGGACTTCTCCTCATGCCCAGAGCCACATGCCCATTCCTCTGGGTCTCCAACAGGCCTCTCTGATGCCTAGCCCAGACCTACTCTCCTCAAGCCAGCTACAGCCACTTCCTCCAAAAGGCCTTCCCTGCTTACCAGTCATCACGTCTGTCCTTTCTTCTTGTTTCAGGGGCAGGGTGTCCTGCTGGTTCCCAGGACCAGAGCCAGAAAGAGAGTAGTCTCACCAATAGCCACTCAAGGGCCTATCTCGAGATATAGTAGCTTCTCCCACACACTACCTGAATGGACTTTCTAATAGGATTGACAGGCTCAGGTGGCTCTGGTTTGCAGGCATACTTTTAGGCCCAAACTCAGCAGAATCAATTTTCCCCTCTCAGTGAACATGACCATTGCTCCACTGAACAAGGATCATCCCTAGGTCTCAGGTCTAAGGCCAGAGCAGCTTCTGGAGCAAACCCTTCTTGCATGAGCTCTTTGGTAGTCTTTAAACAATGACAGTTTCTGCCTGGTGTCCTCAGGACCTGTCCAGCTGTATCTGACTTTGGCCACTAACTCCAGCATCTGCTTACCTAGAGAACAAGGACAGCAACCCCTACCCCTTCCATAGCCAGTCCCCCATACTGACTTGCTTAGCCCTGGTAAAGCCCGGTATGCAGGATCCAGAGCCGGAGGAGAAGCACCTTCAAGAGTGGCTTCCAGGAATCCATGGGAAGTGCCACCTCTGAAAGCTACCTACCCATTTCTGCTATTGAATAATTAACATCTAAATCCTTATCCTTTCTGTATGACTCATCTCTGGAGCCTCAGACCAAGTCACACAGATTAGATCATGGTTGCCCCTGACACGTTCATGCCTGGAGCTCACAGTTCACTGGCTACTGAGTATGGATGCAATGCCTTGACATTCCAAAAGTGTCTATGTCACCTAGCACCTAGCCTCTCAACTGTCATTTGCTGCCTGAATAAAGCTCATTTCTGGTTAAAAAAAAAAAGCAAAGCAAAATAAAACAAAAATTAAGTCTATGGTAAGACTTCCAGATCCGGGTGTGGTGATGCATGCCTGTAATCCCAGAACTCAGGAGGATGAGGCAGGAGGATTGCTGTGAGTTCGAGACCAGCCTGGCCTACATAGTGAGTTCCAGATCAGTCTTAACTACATAATGAGACCCTATCTCAAAAAACAAAACAAACAAACAAACAAACAAACAAACTTCCGGACCAGCATCTGATAGAGGAATCACTGAACTCTCACAGTGCTGGGACCTGGACCAGCCCAGGGCTTTAGGGACCTACCTGATTCTGGAGTCTTGCTGACGGGGGTAGAGATGCCCTCACTGGGATTGTTTTGTTGTCCTGAGATCACAGCCACTGGGAGTGGTGGCATCAGGACTGATGAGATATACACGACGTGTACAGCTGTTTCTCCAGCACAGATCCTGACCAAGTCAGAAGGGCTCTTGTCTCAGGCCTGGTAGCCATTTCCTGTCCAGGTCCCTGCCTACGGTAAGACCATCTCTCCACCAGGACCATGGCTCATACTGTGCTTTGGTAACTTTGAATTTCAAAGGACAGCAGTTTGCGTTCCACTCCCTCTTCATGTTGTGTATGTTAGGGTGCATGTAAGCACCTGAAAAGAGACTGTTGCTTGATGCAGCCCCTGCTGAGCCCCAGGCCCTTGCCTGACTCACAGTGGTGATGGTGATGATGATATAATCTTTGTGGAACAGAGGACACAGGCTTGTGCTCCCAGTAAGGCTGCCCTCTGCCTCTCTGGGACTCATAGGGGACCTGGGGGTAGAAGAGAGGATGATGCCCTTAGCAAGCTAGGATATGTTTCTGGACCCACTTCCTTTTTGGGCCCCCACTTCTCAGAAGGACCTCCAACCCAAAGACCTCTGCCCCCCAAAGCATACCAGGCTTCCCTGGAGAGTTCACAACTGGCTCCTGAAGGAATGTCAGGCCTCCTCAAATGAAGGCCATGGCTGGGGCCTCTCTTGAGGTCAAGGTTTGCTTTGACTATAGGGCTGAATATTTAGGATCACTGGGGACCAAGAAAGACCTTATCTCCCATAGATGGAGATGGAAAAGCCCAGAGAGACATAGGGACTCACTTGAGGAGGTATAGTAGGATCACAGAGTCAAACTTCCCCATCCATGGAGCCCACAAGCTGGGCCTCAAGGGGTATCTGGACAGTAAAAGTGTTCACAGCAAGGGTATCTTGTGGCCATGGGGTTCTGCCGGCTAAGCACAGCTGCCTAAGGCCCCAACAGGTACAACTATGAGTTTTCTGTGGATGTCTGGCCTCAGGGCCCAAACACAAGAGAAAAGTGCCATAGCAGGATTGAAAAGTTACTCACAGCTTTTTCTGACCCAGAAACAAGTTTCTGTGTGTCAAAGTCTCCCACACACTCTCAAATCCCTAGCATGTCTAAAGGACATGGAGGCACTATGGTCAGGTGGGCACCCATGGAGCCCTGAATCATACACTGCATCCTCTCCTGGTTCCTACACCTCCTGCCCCATGTGCCTGGCTCCCAAGAGGTTGGGACTGTCTCTCAAGGAAGGGGAATGTTGGAGCCTGGCTGTGCTCTGCTGCTGCTAGCCCTCCCTAGACATTCATCTCTGAGGGCTGAGGTGGAAGCTGGGCCCAGGGCTTTCTGGCCACCAAGTAGCCAGCAGAAGCCAAGCATGGAGACTTCCAGAATGAATGCATGTGTGTGTAGCTACCCTGGAGCTGCACCCACCTGGGCTTCATGCATGCCTGAGGCATGTACAGCAGGAAGGCACCTGACAAGAGGAGAGCCGAGTCAAGGATGGGGGTGAGAAATAAAGCAGCACAGCCCAAGTCACAGTGGTAGGGGTCCCTCTGGACTCACTGCTCTCAACCTTAAACACAAGCACACTGTTAAAGAGTAGGCCCTCCCCAGCACGAAGGTGTCCTGGGATGGCTGGATGGTGCTCTGGACTCTACAGCAGCATCAAAACAAAGCCACAGTCCAGCAACCTGAATCAGGAAGTGCAGGAAGCCTCAAGCCTCACAAAGGCCCTAGAAATGGTAAGCAGCTTTATAGTAACAATGGCTCTGATCTTGTCATGAGACAGGGACTGAAAAGAGAGAGACCATCAAGCTCTGCCTTGGCCCCCGGGAGCTCTGGAGTATAGACTTCCCATATTCCCATATTCTCTTTGTCCAGAGTCCCCAGCAGGTCTAGGTTCAATGTTGTAGACCCTAGCAGCATCCACCCCCACTGCTCCCCATTCTCTTGTGCACAGGGCCTTGACTAAAGGTGAGGACCACACCTGTAATTACAGATGAGGCACATCCCTCACACAGGGGCTTCTGGGACAAAACCACTACTCTATTCTGCAGAAAAATTAATTAACTGGTAAATAATTTAAAGCATGATTACATTTTTGAACAATAGCAAAGATGCAATGTAATGCAAAAGTGCAATGAAGGCACACTTTCCATATATTTTAAAGATAAATAATTTTATTTTGATGAAATATATATATATAATTCACCACCTTGGGCCTGGGATTTAGCTCAGCGGTTCCGCTGCGTACCTCACAAGCACAGGTCCCGGGTTTGATCCCTGGTACACACACACACAAAAAAAAAAAATTCACCATCTTAATCACTCTTAAGTGTACATTTCAGTGAAGCAAGTACATTTCATAATATTGTCTCACAATCACCACCACCCATTTCCAGAACCCTTTTTACCTCGCAAAATTGAAATCTGTACTTACTAAACTCTAGTGTTCTGTTTTCCCTCCCCATTCCCCTAGCAATCTCTCCCCTTCATGGACTACACCAGGTACCTCACGGAAGTAGACTCACACAGTATCTGGTTATTTGTGTGTGTCTTATTTTGTCTAGTACAATGTCTTTAAGACTCATCCATGTGATCGCATATGTGATAATTCCTTCCTTTGGAGGCTGAATAATATTCTAGTGTAGGATGGCCCTTATTTTGTTTATTTATTCATCTATAAATGGCCACTGAGGTTGCTTCCATCTCTTACTTTTTGTGCATACTGCTGCTATGAACACGGTTATACAAATACCCCTCTGAGACCCTGACTTCAGTTTTGGGGGTCTGTTTTCAGATGTGGAATTGTTGGATCACATGGTAATGCTATGTTTAACTTTTTTGTTTGATTGTTTTATTTTTCAGTACTAGCAATTGAACCCAGGGACTTGTACTAGACTATATCCCCAGGCCTTTTATTTATTTATTTATTTTTTTTAGATGGGACCTTACTAAGTCACTAAGTTTCCCAGACTGGGCTCAAACTTGGAATTCTCTTGCCTCAGTTTCCAAAAGTGCTGAGATTACACACATGTACCATTATGCCCAGCTTTATATTTAACTTTTTTTTTTGCTTTGGAACTGGGAATCAAACTCAAGACCTTGCACTTGCAAGGCAGGCAATGGCACCACTGAGCTAAATTCCCAGTTCATGTGTTTAACTTTTTGAAGAAACATGTTTTCCACAGTGACTGTACCATTGTACCTTCCCATCAACAGAACACAAGTTGCAATTTCTTTACATCCTCCTCACACTAAATTTATTTTTTCTTGCTGCTGGTGTTGTTTTAAGTAGCCATTCTAATGGGTGTTGCTGCCAGACCATTACAGATTTGATTTTTCATTTCTCTGGTAATTAGTGATATTGAGCTCTTCCTGCGCTTATCGGTCTACTCATGTCCTTTGCCCATTTTTGACTTGTCATTGCATTTCAAATCTCTGTATCCTCTGGATTGTTTACCTGAATTTTTAGAATACAGCCTGAAACCTCCAGGAAATTACTCACAGCTGGCTGCTGTAGATCATATCCACAGAACTCACAGTTAGCTGAAATATAGGCAATTGGGCCCGCATCACCTCACCTGAGGCTGAGCTGCGCCGTGGTACAACTGCATACCCAGTAGGAAGCACGTGTCAGGCTGAAAGGCCAGGCTGAGGCATCCCCAGTGGGGGTGCTGCCGGGAAGAGTCCCCGTGCAGGTGCAGAACAAGGCTCCGGGAGTTTGAGAGATGGAAACGTCACTTTCAACTGTGTCAAGTCCAAGGCCAGGATTACTCTCACCACCCTGTCCCACCTCAACTGCTAGGCTTCTGGGGAAAATAAAGATTCAGAATAGTTTTACCAGAAAGTAGAATATACGAAGACATTTTATAAATAAGAAATTATAAACATTAGTTTTTCAATAGGCAAAATTATGAATTTACAGAAGGAGAAAATCAAATTGATTTAATAAACACGAGCAATGTTTGGTCCCACCAGTAATCAGACAGGTAAACTAAAACCAAAGAGGCATTTTTGTCAACCATCAAATTAACCGATTCTTATATGTTGTGGCAGCTGCCCTTCAAACAGGATCTTGTGGTCTGTAGTTCCAGCTATCTCAGAGGCCGAGGTGTGAGATGACTTGAGCCCAAGAGTTCAAGAAAATACAGGCAACACAGTAAAGCCCTGGCACACAATAATAAGAAACAGCAGCTTGTCTTCTGGGTGCCTGAGTGCAGCCCACTGACAGCTTGCTGGGCATTCAGAATCCAGAGCTCTGATGAGCTGAGGCTGCTCTCTTCCAGTGAGGACTGAGTGTGCCACAAGCTGGCTCAACATGTGCTTGTTCTGCATCTTGCCCTTGGGGTGGCATAGTCTGACCTGCACAATACTGCCCCCCACATCTTTCACAGGCTCATCTCCCCGATTGTGGTTTCCTGGAGGACCCAACACACCCATACACACATGCACATGTGCATGGTGCCCAGAGCAGGAGTGGGGTAGATAGAAGGTGAAGTGCCATAGATGATTGGGAGGAAACTGACAACTTGTATAAATGTCTTAGCATTGCCTACCATCCCCTCCCAAGTCCACTTAAGGAAGCTGTTCTAGGAAAATAACCACAGATCTGTGTGCACAGTTTGTCAGAAGGAGGCTTATCACAGCATTATATATAATAGCCCAAACTTGGAAGGGTCCTAAATGTCCAGCCATGGAGGTTCCAGCTCTACCCACACAATAGATGTCACATGGTCATTCAAAACGACCGTGAGGCAGCATGTTTTTCCATGGGAAAGTGAGTTCACATGGCATTTTGGGAAAGGGCGGTTGTACGGCAAATCCCTACTACAAGCCAGTCTGGGGTTGCTGTCAATTTCCCACAGCTCCTTAAACCTCCTCATGCCTCTACAGGGGAACATGGGCTAACAGAAGTTAAATCATGTGCCAAGGCCCTGTGACCAGTAAGGAAGGAAGCCTGACTTCACCACCCCCTCACAAGAAAGAGAGAAGCCGGACAAGGACATCCACTCTCTCTCTCTCTGGGTAGGAAGATCAGGGCAATAATATTCTTCTTTATTAACTGATATGCTCTGTGATTTCTATGTGAGATATATGGGGGGAATGTTATGGCGGAAAAAAGCCATGGTTTTTATTCCAATACCACAACTGTCATTTATTTCAAATTTTATATAAAATATCCCTGCAAACATTTCTTTCTAGCCATCCATGTTTTGTAACTGGCCTCTTAGTCCTTTTTGCCAGAGCCTTCAGTGTCCTCATCTGGACGAACTACCCCAGGTCACCATCCCAGAGAGCATCAGACAGGGAAGACATGCCCATCTGGCTGACTCCACACAAAATAAAAGAAACAATGGTGGGTCTGGGGATTTATCTCAGTGGCTCCCTCACCTACCTCACAAGCACAAGGTCCTGAGTTTAATCTCAGTACCCGCCAAAAAAGAAACAATGGGATGTCCAAGACTCAGAAGTCAAACTGGGCATGGTGCGGCACACCTGTAATTCCATCATTCAGGAGACTGAGGCAGAAGGACTGCCATGAGTTCAAGGCCAGCCTGGACTACATAGTGAGAGGTTGTCTCAAAAAAAAAAAAAAGACTCAGGAGCCAGAAATTTATTATATGAGCCCTACATAGTGGGTATCAGATAGTTGCTAAAATCCTATTGGTTTTTGTTGTTATTTGTTTGTTTGTTTTTTGAGGCAAGGTCTCCCTTCATAGTTCAGGCTGGCCCTGAACTCGCTATGTAGCCTAGGCTGGCCTTGAACTCACAGTGATCCTCCTGCCTCAACCTCCCAAGTGCTGGGATTACAGGTGTGCACCACCATGCCCAGCTCAAAATCCTCTTGTTTTAAACAAATTTCAATCCATGAAAAAAATGTGCATGAAATAATGTTGCATCTGGATTTATTGTAACTGCCCTCTCCAAATGTATATATTTACATATAATTGTACTTATCTATATATGTGTCTGTCTGTCCCTCCAAATATATATATATGATTTAACTCTGGTGAGTATGATTGTGGGTATCTTTAATTTTCTTTTTAGTTTTTTTGCCTTACAATTTCTGCTGCTATTTTTAAAATGGAACAGAGCAGAGCAAGGAAGAGGAGACAGGGCTGGCTGACCAAGAGCACTAAGGATGGGCTTGGGGCCTTTGTGTCTGGGAGCTGTGTGTTTATGGCCTGCACTTGGAGACAGGCGCCCCAGCCTTCCAGGAAGAGGCACCAGCATTTCCTGTAAGATCACACACATCTCAGCTAGATCTGAGTGGGACCAATCCGAACCTGAGCAATTGGATCTGATGCACACAGAGCCCCAGTCCAGAACACTGAGGCCTGTACCCGTCAAAGCATAATTGTCCCTTTGGGGGTGTGCCAAGGGCGTCCCTTGAGGTCAGGAGGACTGTGCCATACCGCAGTGGGTTCGATCTGATTTCCTCCACCCTCAGAGGAAGACCCTTTTAATGGCCCCTCCATACTCACACCTTGCCCTCTTGCAGGTACACAGGGAAGCCCCACTGGGAAATGGGGGAGCCAAAACGGTCAGGCTGATTATTGCCTCCCCTAGTAGGACTTGGAGAGGAGCAGCTCAGATATTCCCCAGTCTGTCCTTGTACGAGGCTGTGGCTGAGATGTGGCACCCTTTATAGCAAGGGTGACCGAGTAGAGTAAGAGACTCATGGTGATCTGAGAGTCCTCGGTCTCCCACCCCTCCTCAAAAGGCTTCCCTGGCTCTAACTACTCCTTTGGGGTTGGACTGGGAGTAACATTCCTGCCCATCTTTTCTGCACACCAGGAGACTCTGGACCCGTGACCTGCATTTGAGGTGAGTGCAGAGCACCAGAGGTCCAAGCAGCCTCCGTACTTCTCCGGGGTGTCCAGCAAGACACGAACCCCAGAGGACCCCTGGGATCTTTCATACTCTTGCTAAATGTGAATGGCTCTCCTTGAATCTTGGCTTTCTCCCTCTGTGAATCTTGGCTTTCACAGTGTCAAAGAGTCTCTTGACCAGGACTGATGTCCAGAACTACAGGTTGCCTGCTGGCTGAGCACATGTCATAGAGAATGGGGAACCCTGATGGAAAACAAGTAAATCATTGAACCAGCTGTCCTTCTCAAGAGCTGTTAAAAACAAGGGCATAGGTCACTCAGTGGCTGGAACCACACAAATCTTTGAGGTCTAGCTGGCTCTGGGACAGTGCAGCATTGGGCACTGTCTTTCTTCATCCATTCTACTAGTGGACCCAGGACAGCAATGCCAGGAAAAGCCCCAGCAGTGCCCACTGGTCCAGCTCCAGAGCTGAGGTGATCCTCAGTGGGAACCTTGCCACTGTTCCTTCTGCAGAGGAACTTTGGTTCCGAGAACCTGTGACAGGGAGGAGCCGAGTGCAGGGGATATGGATGGGCCAGGCAGCACCCTCTCATGGCATAGGGGCTGCCCTTGTGCCTGCCAGCCTAAAAGGCCCACCATCAGTGGGCAAATCTGAAAAGTCAAAGTTAAAGTATAACTTGAATTTCAGATAAACAAAAATAATTTTCTTAGTAAAAGTACGCCCTATACAATATTTCAGACACATTTGTATCATTGTTGACCAGAGCTTCAAACCTAACTGGGGAATCCAAGATTTTAGTAGGCAGCTCTCCCTTTCTGCCTTTAGCTTCCGCTTATCTCTGAACTTGAGGCCTCTTGACCCCAAACTGTTCCCCCAGTGACCCAGATACAGGATGGAGAGGGGCCTCAAGAGACCCAGGGAAAAGGCAGCAGCAGAGGGGTGATCCTAGCCTGGAAATTCCACCCTTCCTTACCCAGCCTCATTGTTGGGCCTTGAGAGGCATCAGGGCCTTCCAGGGAAATGGTGCCATTGTGTGTTTGAGAAGTGGTGTATATAGTGTATTATGTATATTTGTATGTAGCATGTATGTATTGTCTGTATATGTAGTGTGCAAATCTAGAAAGACTATATATGTATATGTATATAATACATCTTTATTATGAAAAGAGATTTATTTTAAGGAATTGGCTTACATGACTGAGGATCTGGCAAGTCTGAAATTTAGGAGTGGCCTGGCAGGATGGGGACCTGGAAAGAACTGATGCTGTAGCCCACATCTAAAGGCCATCTAGAGGGAGAGGCACCTGCAGTGTTTTCCTCTGAAGGCCTTCCTTCAGCTGACCAGAGGAGGCCCACCACACGGTGGAGAGGGATCTGCTTTACTCAGTGTCTACTGATAAGAATGTCACTGTCATCTTTTAAAAAAAAACACTTCCCCAGCCACAGCTAGCCTGGCGTTTGACTAAGAGCTGAGCACAATGGCCCAGAAAAGTTGACTCATAAAATTAACCATCACAGCAAAGCTGACCACTGGTGTCCCTCCAAATGCGTGTGATGGAACTTAGCCACTAAGATAATTGTCCTTTGGGAGGTGATTAAATCATGAGTGTTTGCCCTTGTAGAAGGTCTCCAGGGAAGCTGTTACCCTTCTTTGCCCTCTTGCCCTGTGAGGATGTAGTGAGATGGCACCATCTTGAAATCAGACAACAGTTTCATCAGATAGAATCTGCTAATGTCCTGATCTCAGATTCTCAAACTCCCAAATTGGAAGCAATAAATTTCTATTGTTTATAAGCTCTTCAATCTAAAGTATTTTGTTACAGCAGCAGGAATGACAAGGCCAACTACCACCAAATCCCTTCTCAGGCTGTGGTGGGCCCTGGGAATGGAGGGCAATCAGCTGTGGTACCCCGTCTTGCCTGCCCATGATGGGGGCCTTGCCTCTAGTTCACTCACGGCACCTGTTCTGGGACATGAGCCAGACACTACAGTCCTCTGACCCACCCCACCTGATGTAGACATTGCCAGGCACTCATCCTGGGAGAAGTGCCCCCCTTCCAATTGTCACCTGGTTTCACGGGGGCTGTGCCCAACCTGGGATCCAAAGTGCCTACATCATTTTAAACAAAGACCAGTACTTCAGAGCCATGGAGAGGCTCCTGGAGCTGGTAAAATTAGTGTTCAACTAGGCTCCTGCATCACATAACAAAAAGTCCCCCTCCCCAGATGATGTGTGTGTCAAAGCTGGACAGTCTCTTTATTGCAGAGACTTTTCAAAAGAGAATCATTCCTTAGTCTCTGCCCTTTCAGTTCCTACTCCGTAAGGCACACCGGGGCGGGGCAGTGAGCAGCCAGCTGACAAATGCCACAGAGTTTATGTAGTGAGCCCCAGCAGCCCACGTGGTCAGCAGAGGGCCCAGAGCCCCCAGCTGGGATGGAGGTTCTGCAAAGTGATGTTGGCTGCAAGAGCTATTCATACTTGTCAGCTTCCAGTTGATCTTTTATGTATTTAGCCCAACACTTAAAGGGGAAAATGTTCCTGTTTAAATGTTAACTATGTAAATTCTGCATGTTTTAATTCTTCTTTCATTTGCCTTCAAGGCAAACATATTCCAATTAGCAAAGAGGAAAATCTATATATTGAATAAAACTTGCAAATTTGCATCTCTCTCGGGGACCAGTCCACATCAGGTTTGTCCCCAGGAGCCTGGGAGCAGGCTGGTGGGGGAGGGGAAGGTGGCAGGAAGGCCAGGTGGAACGAGGGGCTGCTTCATGGATCCCCATCACTGTCTGCTCTCTCTCTCTGCTTGTCACTCCCTTCAAGCCAGGGCCCAGCCCCCAACTTGTCTCTGCTGGACACACAGCCATGTCTGCAGCCTGGACAAAGGGCTACGTGTGAGCTCCCTGGAAGTACCATTGGCTCTCGGAGCAATCCCAGCCCTGGTGCTAGGTAGCTGCTGTCCTGTCTTTGTGTGTGGGTGTCTAGGTCCTTTGATGGCTCCACAGGCTGATGTCCAGATGGGTGAAGGCTGAGCCTCTCCTGGTTTTGTCTTCCCGCTCTGTATCCAACCAACATGCCTAGAGAACAGGCTGCTTCTCCTGGGGCCTGAGCCATAGTGGAGGGACAGAGGCCATGTCACAGAATGGTCACAAACCACTATATGCGGACATGTTTTATCCCCTCCTCACCACTGCCTTCCACCTAGACTAGCCCCGAGGGCAGGTACACCAATACAGCATCTGGCCACCTGCTCTCTGGTCAGCCGGTGACACCTACACCCCTACACCTGTCTCCTTCAGCCCTTACTCCTGCATCTCTGGGGAGTGGCCCTGAAGCCTGTCCCCGACTGATCTCCTGAGAAGCCTCCTGGGGCTCTGCCAGATTCACACTGTAGCCCTATATAGGGACAGCCCTAGTCCCCCCCTCCACGTCCTCAGGCCCGGCAAACACTGCCAACGATCTGCTGGGCAAGTGGCTCTGGGCTCACCTCCACTGCAGGGCCCTCCCCCAGCCTGTCACACTTCCTGATGTGGATGTGTCTGGGCAGTACCAGGAGGAGGAGCCATTCCTGAGCTGCTGCAATCTGGCTATGCAAACTCTGCCTCCCTTCCCAGGAAGTCCCTCCCTCCCAGCACCAACACTAGCCTCCCACACCGAATTCCGGTTCTGCTCAGGCAATATTTGGCAGGAGTCTCCTCCTCCAGAAAGTCCTCCCTGGTGCCCCAGACTGTGCATTTCCTCCTTCAGTCCTTGACTCAAGAGCTGATTGCCAGGTGTCTGATGACCCAGGAGCCTGAGAGTGCCAAGGAGATGACCCCTCTCCTCCACACATCTTGCTTCCCTGAAGCCTGAGTCTGATCACATACAGGCTAACTGAACAAACGCCTGAATAAATGAATAAGGTGTATGTAGCTGGGGGGTCTTGGGGCCTTACAAGTTTCCAAGTATAACAAAACTGCCCTGCCTTGAAGATCACTTACCCTCGGTGGACCACCCCCTTTGTCTGGAAAGGGGCATTAGGGACAAACATTCTGACATTGCTTGCTTTGGGACAATTCTATCCTTGGTGCCTCACAGGTGCTGGTGCTCCAGGCTTCAGAGTGAACCCAAATGTTTCCCTGCTGGATACAGCCCAGGGACCTGCCTCCTTTCCCAGATATCTGGTTTAAGACTGTGCTCTTTCTGGAAACAGGGAAGGGATCATCCAAGGCCACCAGAGATGTCCCCCAGCTGTGCCTCCCACACCCACATCCTTGAATAGGGGCCTCACGGTGTGAACAGGCCCATGGTCCCTAGGATATAGGACCCAGCTCCCATAGCTCTGTCTTTCCTCTTTGCTGAGCCTGGCACAGTTAAGGGCCACCCTTGTGCCACCTCTGAAAGTGACAAGCAGCCTGAGGAGGTGGCTGAAGGGGCACTTGTAGCAGGGAAGACACACATCTGAAATTCAAAATCTGATGCTGCAGCAGCCTCAGGAGCACCTACAGCTTGGCCTGAGGCCCCACTGGGATCAAAAGCTGTGCCCGGACTCTGTCAGCAGAGAATCCAGGAAAACTTCAAACACAAAAAGCACCCTCCTTTACTAGTGGGGGCTGTGCTGGTGTACCCCACGAGGACACGAATAGGAGGCAAGTCTTGTTCCTTTGTGAGGAGGGAAAATGCCAGTGGGTTACAGAAAGAGGCAAAGCAGGGGAGAGGGAAGACATTGAGCCCTGTGGATGCCTGTGATCTGGAGACACCATTACCTCCTGCTGAGAGCCAGTCAACCCAGGAGGGCCCCAGCATCCTCAAGGGCTCTGGGCCACATCTGGACTCCACCCCCGTGAGTGATGGTGGCTGTTCCCCACTGTTCTTTGCTAGTGACAGTTTACCTGACGGCTCAGGGCTCTGCAAACATTGAGTGGCATTGCTGCTGACAAGAAGGCTTGAAGCTGGATAGGTGGACTTCAGTCAGAATCCCTCCAGCTTGCCGACACAGAACACACACAGACCCGGACTCTCAGACCTACCCCTCATGAAGACCTGCAAATGCAGGCTCCTTGGACATTCCCACTTATAACACACATGCACACACATGCCCTGCACATCTCCCACTCTCGCACCACACACATCTTCCCACCTGGGCATCCCTCGCCTACACCCACTGCAACCCTGAGGGGAGCAGGCACACAGACCTGGCAGCTGGCTGCGGTTTCCTAGGAAACCCTGACACTATCGTGTCACAGAGCCTGAGGAGGCCTCCAGAACATGCCTGACAAGCCCCCAATGCCCACCCTGGGACTTAGGAAGCCTGTGGGAGTGGGATGGATGAAGAAAAGACACCCAATTCAAAGGCTCAGGAGGGCAATGAGACAAGCACAGCTCATGCCTACCAGAGTCCCTGTAAGCCAGTCTCTGCCACCACTTGGCACAGGTTTTGCAGTGGAAGGAAGGTCCTCACCTGCTGCCCTTTTTCAGATCCACAGTAACTAAAGGGTGGAATGCTTTTGTGAGATGTCTGCCCTTCTGGAGATAAAAGCAGGTGCCAGAAAGAGAGAACTGAAAGAGAGTGGCTCCTGGAATCTACCTCACCCAGGAAAGAAGGCAGGGCAACTACTGGGAGTTGAAGTCCCAGCAAATCCAGGAAGAAGCTAATAGCCTCGATAAGGGGTCCAGACAGGAATCTCATTTCCTGAATGTAGTGCTTTTCCTGGCTCTCTACTGGGGACAGATGAGGGGTCACTTCCAAAGACACTCCACTGTCCTATGAAAGCCCTTGGAAGCATCTAGATTCCCATGTGCTATGGGGCCTGGGCAGAACCAAGATGATGAGAAGGCTCCTACTCATGTCCTGAATATGTGGAGGGGAGGGTTCCTGCTGTGCCATGACCACAAGCTTGTAGGGATCTGAGCTTGCCAGACATACCAGGGTCCTCCACTGGGGTTCTTGGGGAACAGAGACAGTGCCTGAGAGGTGTAGACACCAGTGAGGAGTGCATGGGATCAAAATAATAACTATGGGCTGGGGATTTAGCTCAGTGACACTGTGTCTGCCTCACAAGTGCAAGGCCCTGAGTTTGATCCCTAGTACCAAAAACAAAACAAAACAAAACAAAACAATGGAAGGCTGGTACAGAGGTACAGAGAGGGCAGCAGACTCCTGTCCTTCCCACTGGAGGAGTCTCCAGCAAAACCCTGCTCCAATACCTTCTTTGGTCAACAGCCACCCCCAACTGTAGAGAGAGGACAACTGGTGGCCACCATAGAAGGGACAGGGACATTTAGCAGATAAACCCCAACTCCACCTCCCTTTTGCACCAAGTGCCCAGTTCCAGAGAGGCAAGGATTCACAGGCAAGGTAGGCCTGGCTTAGGCTTCACTGCCCAGGCTGGCCCCAAGTTCCTGGATCCAGGACAGCAGGGGAAATCTGTGGTCCTTGGAGGAAGGACAAACAACCTGGGCAGAAAATAGGATGAATTGGCAAGCACAAGAGAGTGAAAACAGAAGAGGGCCTGGGGAGGGCCAGGGAGTAAGGGACCCTGGGTAGCTGACCAGACTGAGCCCAAGCTGAGGGCAATACCAGTTAGGTGCTAGCAGAGCCCTCAGGGCTGCACAGCCAAGGCTCCTGTCTCTTGAGGCCCATTCCCTCTCAAAGGTGACGTTCTCCCTCCTCTGGACCTGTGTCCACTTACACAGCACACATTTCCCAAGGGGCAGGGCTTGCTCACCAGCAGCCAGGCCCAGCCCCAGGCCACACTTGTTCTGTCTGGCTCCTCTGCAGTATGACAGACCGTTCCTCTGTGTGAGTATAATGGTGTCAGTGTACTGACAATGGTGACAAGGATGAGAGAGGACAATAGTGACACAGATGACGGGGATAAGGGTAGTGGTGATGACCAAGACAATGATGTTGGTACGTGGTGTTGATAATGATGGTGACGATGATGAAGATGATGGGTGGTATGTCTGCAGCTCACAGTTAGACCTCTGTTCTGCAATCAGCAGAGCCCTCTGACATTTGCTGGACACCCAGGGGCGCCTGCCTACTGGCTGTTCCCCTGCTTTGTCCAAGCTCTCTCACAGTTACTTTCCTGGCATGGAAGGCATTAAAATGCAGCTGTCTTGCCTGCATTAATCACACCTCTTTTCTCAGAGCCTAATCAACTTCTAATTAATCCAGTTTCTGTCAATGTGAGATAACTGAATTCACTTTGAGCCTTCGGGTGGACAGAACAGTTGAGCCTGCCTGGTTACTTGTGATGGTGGAGATTTTAAAAACAATGCGCTTTGGTTTTGAATGCATGTTTTGTTTTGTTGTTGTGTTGTTTTGTTTTTGTGAGTCTGGGGGGCCTTTCACATGTTAGGCAGACGCCATACTAGTGAGCCACACCCTCAGTTCCAAAAATGTGTTTTCGATCCCTGTTAGTATACATTCCGATTCACAAGATTCCAATGCTTAATTCATGAGGACAATGAACTTGGACAAGAAAACATAGCATCTTTATTTTCATTAAGCTCTGATCAAAATAGCACTTGATTCCGTGAGGCATATTCGCATCCCTGCAACTTTGTGTCTTACAGAAAACACCAACGTGTTCACCTCACTTTACAGTTATTGCTGATATATCAAATGCTGTCCACTTTTCCCCAAATCCTGAGGCTGTCACATGCTGGGCTGTGGCAACACCCAGTGCACTGTGGAGTTCACACATTGCTTTTTTGCACCTGTGTCATCAATACTTTGATAACTGTTTCACTGTAACTGGTTTGCTTTGTGTCCCTGTGTGTTTTTGTTTATTTAAAACAGTAACAGATTGGTAGAATGCAGGGCAGAGAAACTCTTCTCTAGGATACCGTGATGGTGGAAACACAACATTGTGTGCTTGTCAAACCCCACAGTGTCCAATACTAAGAGTGCACCCTTGTGGAAAGGATAGATGTTGACTGATGACAGGACGTCTATATTGGCTCATCAATTATACAAGCCACTCCCTGCATGAGGTAAATAACAGGGAAAACTTTGTATGAGGTACATGGAATTTTGGGTAGTATCTACTCAATTTTCAAAAACTGCTCTAAAAATAGTCTATTAAATTTTAAGAGCCCATTCATTATTTTATACACACACACACACACACACACACACACACACACACACACACACAAGGGCTCCAAAAGCTCATACTTAGAGCACTGTGGGAACATGGAGACAGCCAGTCCTTGCTCACACAGGCCAGCAAGCCCCTCACCCACAGGCCTGTAACCCATGACCACCAGATCAGGGAGCACTGTTTATCTCTGCACTTGGGAGTGGGCTGGATGTCTCAGGACACCACAAACTCAAATACCCTGACCAATTCCAGGCATAGGACAGTGTAGGACCTGTAGAGTTAGCTGCATGGAGAAATGATCATGTTGAAAATGTACCTCAGCACTGACACAACTTATACACACACACACACACACACACACACACACACATGCAAGGAGGACACATGCACACACACATACAGGCATACATACATAGTAACACAGGCAAATGTACATAGGAGCACACGTGCACTCACGTATACAGGTGCCCAGTATCAGCCAGTGGCCCCACACTTTGACACACGTGGTATATTCCATTCCTAGCTTTGAGGATCTGAAATTCCTTTTCACCAAACTATTTTTCATTCTGAACACACTTATGGTTTAATCTCAGCCATTACATTCAAAGTAATTAAACCAAAAACTCATTTCTGCTTTTTTTTTTTGTGGGGGTACTGGGAATTGAACCCAGGGCTTTATGTATGCTAAGCAAGTGTTTACTACTGAGTTATATCCTCAGCCTCCTCCATATACATATATGTGTGTGTATACATATATATTTTTCATTTAAATGACTGTTTTGTTACAAAATATATGCTTGTTCTACCACAGGAAATTTTATGATAGAAATTTCTGTCTACTTAGTTGACAATGCTTTTTTGGCTGCTTACCTCAAAGAAAGGTGTTGGTTTGAACAAACAGACCTCTTATAAATGGGAAGCAGAGAGTTTTAATGACATGTACCCTACAATATCACCTGAGTTAGGCATATCTTGACTTGAGACTGAAACATTGTGATGGTGGTGGTTCAAAATTGTTGTCCTTGAAGAGTTTAAAATGTGATCGATATCTATTGACAAGATATGGAGCAAACTCGAACTCTGGTCCTTGCGCTTGAGAGGCAGGCAGAGGAACCATTGAGCCAAATCCCCGGGCCTCCCATATTTTATTTTGAGACAGGGTCTTACTTAGTTGGCCTCTAACTTGTGATCCTCCAGTCTCAGCTCCCTTAGTAGTTAGGATTACCACATTTGCCACCACACCCAGATAAAAAGCTCATTTCTGGAAAAAGACAAGGTATTTTGAGTATCTGCATCAATATTTAACATCTACCTAACATTCTGGATTCTGCCCTGGAGGGTAAAACAATTTCCACTCCCAGTAAACACTAATCCAACCACAAAGCCTGAGGGAGGGAAGAATAGTCTCATATGAAAGATCAGCCAGCCTGCCTGCCTAGGATGCATGGTTTGATAGGGTTATTTTCTTCCCTACTTTAAAATCTCAGCACTACATTCAGTTCAATAGTCAGGTTAAATGATTAGTCTGCTTAAAGCAAATGTGTTTGAATCTAGGCCTTAACAATTAAATATTTCAGGAGGAAATGTACAACCTGAGAGCCAGGATTCCACCAAACTGAGGAGCATGTGTTGTTTGTGGGCAACTGCTGCAATGAGCAGGAGCTTTGCTGTATGCAGTGTGACAGTACAGAACACCTACAATCAGTGTCACTGCGTGGAAAACAGGCTGGGCTCACCTTCCTGCAGAAAGCAAGCCTTGTGTAATGAAATGACAGGCATTAGGGCTACAGAGAATAGTGCTAGGCAGGGCAAGCACCATGTGCCAGGACCTGCCTGTGTTGTGTCCACCTGAACAGGCTGTGGGCACATGAACAGGCTCTCAAGTGCAGAGGAAGGTAAAGGGAAGTCCCAGTCCAAGGAAGGTGGCACCTTTGGGATGAACCTGCTCTATAGTGGGCCCCACAACCAAACAGAGCCAGGGACAAACTGCAGGAGTGGGCCTCGTACCTTCTTGCTCTCCTCCCCACCTCTGTGGGACAAGCTCTGATTGAGTTCTGTTCATCACATGGGCACC